TCCTTCCTTTTCTGTTGCTCCTGCTTCGTTTGGCTGCATGCTGATATGGCAAATAGGACACTGCAGGCTTTCTGGCAACCTGAGGAAACGTCCTTTCAGTCTCTTCCAACTTAGTCCTACTTAAGAATTGTAGCCTTGAGATGTTGATGTATATGCTTCTACTGTGCTCTTACTTAGCACAGTAAGCCATGGGAAAATCCGTGCCGCGTATGAAGCGTTAGATGAGGGTAACCTCAGGAGTATTATTTTTTCAGATTAGCTAGGCGTAGCTTTTTGGTATATTTTGAGTAGGTGAGAAAGCAGGCTACCAGCTTTTCACCTGTTAATTCTCTAGAGAAGTTGCACTTTCCTCCCCACGCTCTTTCTTGGAGGTAAGATACTCTGGCAACAGGTTGAGGCATGGTAGGAGCAAAGACATGCATGTACATCAATCTGAACTGCATCTGGCCAGCTGTTGGTGAAGCCCCAATGTGAAGGCATCTTTGAGAAGTTACTGTCTGGAAAACCCAACTGCAGACAGTCTCAAGTTATAAAATGTATCTTCCAGTATTCACATGACCCGTGTGTATGTATATCTCTATCTGTCTCAAGGGAAAGGAGAAGAATGAAGAGTTGGATGTGGAATTTTCCTTGGGAGAAAGGTGAGGAGCCTGCAAAGTGCTGTTGAATAGAAATGTGTTTATGATCTAATCTTTTGCAATTCATGGTGGTACTACTCAAAGGAATGCGATTGTACATATGCCCATTCTGCTCCCTCCCTAGCCTGAAGGTATAATTAAAGCACCATTCTGGAAAGGCATGATCCTTGCTGTCTAAGGAGCAGATTAATGTCTCTTATCCACTCCACTTATGTAATTATATCATAATAGAATATACCGCCCAAATTCTCCCTTCTTCACTTCTGACACTCCTGGTGAAACAGTAGTAGAGCTCAGTAAGTTCCACAGAAGCGAGAGGCTGCTTCTCTAGGCCGTGATTTCTCCTTTATTGCATGAAGGAATATTGATTTCCCCCCCTCTCCCCCCCACCACCATGAGACTATAGCTTCTGGCTGTGGGTCTCCCAAATACAGCAAACTGGGAGGAAGAGGTAATCACAGCGATGAAATTGAACCATTGAACCTCACGTCTACTTACCTTTCATGTTCACAGCACGGATCCCCCCACTGAGGTCATCACCAATGGTGTTTTGGTGGTAAGGGATTGTTGTTTGTGTCCTGAAAATGAATGTCTGTTGTGTTGTGAAAGTGAGTGAGTTCAGTCTGTGCTTTATTACCGATACAAATACTTGCATCTTCTTTCATATCCATAACATCTTTCAAATGCATAGAAAGTTAGAGACTGTGCCTTTTGCATGACATTGTCATGATTCTCTACTCATTCTCCAACAGGATGTCACCTGCTGTGTTTATAATACAATGTTCATAGATGAGACCTTGAAGTACAGGTGCAGTAACTTTATTAGCCTGTTTCAAGAATTGACTGCTATGTTTAACAGCCATGCCTTTAAATGGTATGTACTGTGAGGCTATTTGCTGCAAATATCTGAGCAAGTATCTCTAGAATGAGCTGCACCTCACAAAAGTGAAAATTTCCAGTGCAACTCCTGCAGCAGGACATGTGTGCTCTCTCTTAAAGGCACTTTCAAAAGCTGCAAGTGTTTGAGATGAAGAGTTTTTTGAATCTCTCAAAAATGTGGCATTGGTTAAAAATAGAAGTAAAACCTGGAGATAAAAGGTTGCAAAAAGGAATTTCAGGAGTGGCTGCGAGTACAGCAGAGCAGCGTGTTACACAGTAGGAATATTCTGCAGGACCTAGGGACAAACTGATTGCGAACAATATTTTTCCTTTCTTTGGATATGTCACTTGATAGCTTCTTATCGTAGAAAACAGTCTACTTTGCAGTGAGGAAATACGCATAGCACTGTCATTAAGAGTTAAGGTCTTGAAGCTCTCATTTCTAACGTAGGCTCGTCCTTGCCTGTGTGTCCAAGGCACTGTGGATAAAAGTGAGAGAAGCCCGTGGTTAATACAGGGTGAGTCTACCTGTCCCTTGTCCTGGCCCCCCTCCTCTTGAGGGTCTGCGTGTGCAGGAAGAGGCTAGGAGCCTACTTCCCTGGTGAGAGAGTGCAGTGGGTGGGTGTGCGTGTGAGGGGGAGTGTGGGGGACTTGGGGGAGTGTGTGCAGGGGGTGTGGTGAGGCAGGCATGTGGTGTGATGAGTGTATAGGGGGCTGTGTGTGCGTGGCTTGTACGGCAGGTGTGGGGTGTAGTGTGTGGGGTGGTATGTAGTGGTGGTGCCGTGTGTGGGGTATGCGAGTGGGGTATATTTGGATGTGGTAGGGTTGGGGTGTGGGAGCACGTGCGCTTTGTGTGTGTGGTGCATATAGTACGTAGACTGGGTGTGCCGTGTGGGGGTACGTGTAAAGCGTGTGGTGTGCGTAGAGTGTGTGTATGTGTAAAGCATGTGTGTAAATATAGAAGCGTCTATGCTCTATGTGTATGTATGTGTGTATATAGGTGCACACCCATGCCTATATGTACCCCCTGCCCCCACAAGTATAGCTGGTAGCTGGGGCTGACCCAGAGCGGGGAAGAGCTGGGTAGGGCAGTTAGGGGTGCTCGTTTCCCAGGCTCCTCTGGCAGACGCAGTACGTTTTGCCAGCTGGGCCTGGGATGCCGGTGGTGGTGGGACATTTTGCATCTAAGGAGAGATGACTGCCGCCTGAAATAGTATGTTACAGCTTTCCCTGTCTGGTTTTGTGCCCTTTGCTGTGTCTGAACCTCTCAGAGAACTGTCAGGTCCACCTCTCCTTGCCTGGGTCCTTTGAGAGCTGGTCGTCCACCTCCTGCAGTGCTGAGTCCAAGGAGAAAAGGAAGATCCCTTTTGTTTTCCACGTGGACAGAGAAATCCACCCAAAGCTGCTTTTGGATCTGCTGCAGACTACGCCTGTTATAGAGGTGAGAGACTGCCTCTGTGTTTCAGGCTCCCGTTGAAGGCAGGTTCCCGGCTCCTGAAAGCAATCCTGTGTCTTAGCAGAGCAGCTGCGTTAGAGATGGCAGCTTGACAAATACTGTTAGAAACAAAAATGACCAGGGTTGATGCAGCTCTATCGCTTCTCAAAAATATGTTGTTAAATTGGAACTATTTATATCAGCTCCTGTGCGATGTCGCGCACTGCTAGTTAATGGTAGCTTTCTATTGGAAAATGATGTTAAGTTTGTTTATAACCCTGCTGATGAAATTTCAAGTTTGGGCTGTGATATGTAAGTGCTGTGTATCCATCACAGGTTCAGATTATTTTTTCAATTGCAAGTCAAACAGTTCAAACATTTCCTGGACAAATTTATGGAAAAAGATTGTTTTGCCTAAAGTATGGTAACAGGTGGGAAGTATTATCAAACTTGAACTCAGATTGTCAAAGGCTGCACGTTCTTAATCGAGACTTGATGGAAGCTGACTGCCAGCCGTGGGGAACATTCATACCACTAACACTGAGTGGGACTTTGCTGCGACTGCAGCTCTTGGCTGCCATGGCCTGCACTTGAGCATCATAGCTCAGGTCTAGTGATGCCTCTGCTGTGGATAGCTCAGCAATGTGTGAGCTTACCTCATCTGTATGTGGATGAGGGAGGGGATCAGGCTTGCAAGTTGGCTGGTAAAGGAGTGGAAAAAATCCTTTCTTCCCTCCGTCGCAGCTGCAGATGGTCATGAGGGAGAGGATCGTCTACAGACGCCCTGCCTTTCTTGCAGCGGAAAGAGGAGAATTTAGAATGAGTGAAGTGGCAGATGCCAAGAGAAAAAGATGGCTGAGGCGCGCTGCTTTGGCTAATTAAAGTTGTCTTCACTTATGCTATGTGTTTCCTGTAGAAGATTAGTGAAATCTTTAAATCCAGCCTTGCATGGGTGATAATTAATTGCATCTCACTTTGTGTGTGCCTGACTTGTAACTTCTGTGTCCGAGCCCGCTGAATGTTACATTGTGCAAAAGAGGTGGTGATAATGTAGTAGAACTATCAAAATGCATACCGATATTCAGATTATATGTGTTCTACCACAAACGCAGGTAAGGAGTTGAAGCTTGTTTGTGTAAGGAAGTTTGAGTGCTTCTATAAAGCGATCTTTCAGTCTGAGCCAGTTATATCAGAGAAGCTGACGTTTATGTAGCCTTATTTTTTAGTATACAGTTTCTGTGCTGGATACTTTAAAGAATGTTTTGTTCTTGAAATTCACGTGGCAACATGAACATTTTTCTGATTTAACAATGGAAAGAATAACCATTTTTACTCATTTTAACACTGAATGTAGTATTTTGACTGTCACAAGTTCATTGTTGAAGAATATATTTGGCGGTGATTGTATTCTGTTTGTAATAATGGGAAGATGCATCTGTAAGCGTTGACCAAAAGGTCTGTGTCTAAATTCAGCCTTTTACCTTAAAGGAAGGATGGAGTGAAGACTTGCAAATGCACACTGAGCATTTAGGAATGGCATCCATACCTGTTTCAACACTTCCTCGTGGGCAGGAACTAGAATTTAGCGTTCTAGTAGGAAAGGTAACATTTATTTTCTTTCTAAGCATGGGGATTTTGGCAGTAGAAAATGGCTATAGCTAATATTTTATTTTCCAGTTTCCTATTGTTGCTGTTATTGCCTTGTGAATTGAGGCTAACAAATTGGCGATATAGGGATTGAATCCCAGACTCATTTTCCCCCCCCCACTCTTTTCTCCTCTTCCCTCAAGATGTTATAGCAAAATAATACCAACAGCTCAGTTCCCAGCTCACTCGGAAACATGGCTTAGCCACACTAAGGGACAAGGCATGACTCTGTCCTTTCTTTCTAGCCCACTATCACTGTGATGAGGCAGCAGCTTGGCTCTGGGCTTTTAGTATGGCAAGTGATTTTAAATTTCCTGGACTCCTTCAGGGAAAAGAAGGGAGGGTAGAAGCACCTTGCAGAAAGCATTTGCCCCTTTGGACCATTATTAAAATTCAAACTCTTGAGATACAGGCTATTTTTACTGTGTTTGTGAATTTTAAGTTGAAAAGCACAGTAAGGTCTTGTTTTAACATATTTCAATGATAAAGATAACAAGCCATAATTGAGTAGATGTACTGTCTTTTTTTAGTACTGCTGTCACAAAAGAGACAAAGCTATGACCCTGATCTCTAATCAATGGATTCTGCTGCAAGGCTTTGAAGATGTCCTAGACATTTTACCTGGGTATTTGGCTAGAATAGGGCTGGGAGATGAAAAGTGTGTGTGTAGATTCTTTCACAGAGTGGCAATTGAGGGAACTGAGGAGGAGTGAGAAGTAGAGGAAAGCTGGATGAGGGAGAGATGAAGGAAGAACGAAGAGAAGAAATTTTTGATTATGATTAGAGCAAAGTAGGTACAGTATGTTGGTTTAAAAGCAGCGAGGCGTTTCAAGAAGAATAAAAGTCAAGGAGAGGAATAACTGAGGATCTTTAGAGAAGGTAGAAATAAACCTATTGATGCCCATTTTCTCTTTATGCTTTTAATTTCTTATTATCCTGCCCTTTCCGACTTACCTGCTCTGCAGGATTAGTGCTGGGAGTGATTCAGAAATCCCCTTTTCCTGAGGCGCCAACAGAAAGCGAAGAGGTGCTTGATAAATGTCCCGGGTTCAAGTGCTGAAGTCCCTTGCAACAAGCCCCTTCTATACCTGCACTACGTCATGCTGTATGTGTCTTCTCTAAGATGAAGGAGGAGAGGGTGAAATGTTATTTTCATCAATTAATGTAAAAATTTGAATAAAAGTGAGGCAAATTGTCTTCTAGTTCTTTATTCTTTGTTCACTTGCACAATTCTTTGTGTGATTTGCTGGCTGGTGACCTTTCTTTGTGAAAGGAAGAGATATCTGTTGATTGCTTTTATAACCAATAGTCCCAAGAAGTAGTAGGTATTTTAGAGCCTCTCTGTAGGCTCTAAAAGAGAGGGCTTTCTTGCCTGGCTTTGGCACATCTTGCAGGAGACAAAAGTTAGTGTTAGATGTCTCTCTTGGAGCTGAAGCCAGAACAGAGTTGCCTGTTCGGCAACTGAACATCTCTGTTATTTTTGCATTTTTTTTACTCTTTCTTTATTTCAAGGCCTGAACAAACTGTAAGAACAGTATGCTGATTAGCATTATGGCTTATCTCCGTGGTTTGCTTGTCAGGCCTTGCTATGTATTCTTTGAACTGGTGTGAGAATTAAAAAAAAACAAAAAAAAAAAACAAAAAAAACCCCAAAAAACTGTCTTTTTTTTCCCCTCATCAACAATGTTACAGAAATCAAGCTTTTTTGACTGACAGTAATTTACGAAAAGAGTAAACTCTCTGCCACACAGACTGCTTGAACTCCTTAAAAATTAGTTATTCACAAATCAATTAAAAAGCATCAGTTCCTGAATATCATTTTAAAAAAAGGTTTTTCACATATAGTAGCTTCACCAACTTTTCAGACACTAACTTAAAATTTAATTTTTAATTTTACTGAATTTTTCTTAGAATAAGAGCCCTTGATAGTCCAATTACTAAGAAAAATGTTGTATTAGCATACCGTAGGGCTTCCAGAACACTATCCTCAATATCCTCATCTTTTGCTCTTGAGAGATGTCCTTGTTTCATTTGACTGCATATCCACAAGTCTTAAAGTACAAGCATTGAGCCCAACATCATCCAATTTTTGTGCAAAATTCTATTACATATGGGGGTACGGCCCAGAAACCTCGCCTGTTTTTCATTGTATGCATCACTTAACTATCTAATTAAACGTATTTCAACAGATGGAAAGAAAATCTCTCCCTTAATCAACCTTTAGTGTGCTGGACAGATTATATTTTGTTTGCACATATCAGAGTTATGCAGCATGCATATTTTGAAGAATTCCTTAAACAAATGGCAAACATTTAGACAGCAGCTGTTATGTTATATCAATTTAAAATTGCTCTGTTTCTTTAGTAGTTAAGATTGGTGTCAAAAGATAACAATGCCATTGCATCCGTATCCCGCATCTGTTCCACAGAGTGCTGGAGTGCTTATTTCTGTATGAACTTTCAGTAGAGGTATATGCCTTAAATTGCTATTTTTCTTTTCTTTCTCATTCAAGAATAATGGCCTTTTGATTATATCTGTCGGCATCTGGGAAGCAGTAAAACGGCTCACTCACAGTTGTTTATTCATGCCACTCTGATATTTTCTTAGAAGAAGCTATTAGGAACTTTTGTGAAACTGTTTTGGTGGCAAGCTATTTCTCTTTTTCTAGGGACAAAGTGTGGATATGACTTTGAAGGTTGAAGAATGGTGAGTCAGTTATTCAGAAATTCCTGAAAAAGCATATGGAAAATAAATTCAGTTCTCACAATAAATTTTGTAAATTTGACAAACGCTTCATTTCAGTTCATGGTCAGGCAGAAAAAATGTTCTAATATAGTACTTTTTTTTCTCTTGTGTACCACTTTGACATTACTATTTGAGTGAGAGCTTAGCTGAGTTGTCATATTTCTTCTCATCGCAAGGGAAAATGAAGTGATCTGACCTTTTAGGACTGAGCTAAGGAATTTTCTCCTAAAAGAAGTCATTGACAGTGAATCCCCCTCCCCCCAGCCCCCAAGACGTGTGCAAGGGAGCTAAGCTTTTCTAAGCAGCGCTCAGTCCCACTTTATTTCATTATATAATATACTCCTTTCAAAAGGAGTTAGTTCTTGAGTTGCTGGGCTTTTTTCCTCTGTTGTTGTTATTTTTTTAAAGACTATGGTACACTAATAGCATCAACTCCATCACGAACTTAATAGGGTTTTTTTTTTTTTTTTCAGCTTTCTCCTCTTGGAGATAGCTTATCACATTTAAAAAGTTTCATGAACTTTGCTATGATAAGAGCCAGGTCCCTGCTTTGATGAATTTACGGTCAAATAAGGTAAATTGCCTCTACAGGCAAAAACCGAGGCAGGAATATGAGGAGGGAAGAAGGCCACAGCCTGATAATGAAGTGATTGTTTGCATTTGTAATTAGAAGGTTCCAATTACTTTAGTAAATGTAGTTATTAGAGTGTTCGAACATTTTTCCAGTGCTTTGCTTGCAACTCCACTTTTGTAACACATTTATATAAAATATTGCGGGTTTTTTGGACTCTGTATGTATTTTTCTATCCCTATGTTGAGAAAATTCTATGAATAAGTGATAAAAAAAAGAGCACGCATTATAAAAAAAAAAAAAAAAAATTCAATTCTATGATAAGAAAGAACCTACTTAAAATGTGTTTTTATTAAGCTTGCCAGTAGCAATGCCCTCAAAAAGAATTGAGGTCTGAGATTGGAAGACTGAAGTAATAAATCAAGAGAACTTATTTTCATGGTTGTTCTTACTCTGACAACATTATTTAAAAAAAAAAACAAACCAACTATAATCCAAGCATAAACATGAATATAAAGTGTGTGTGAACACAGTACGTTTGACGACTAAAACTTATCAAAGTAAGTGCAACTTCTTTCCTACAGTTTTATTTTATACAGCTGGTTGTAAGCCATTGAAGCTGTAAGTGAAATAAAAAGTATGATCCCCTTTTTCCAGAAAATTTATTTCCTTTTTACTGTTCTTCCCATGTATGCTTTTTCTTGAGTGTAGTTCTGAGGATCTTGATGTACGCCTTGGATTTAACCTCTCTAGAGGAGAACAGCAATTTTTGCTCAGAAGAAAAGAAAAATCTTCTAAAGCACTTAAGAAGGTACTCAGGTTGTCAAAAGCACCTTCAAAAAATGAGGTATGAGTCTTCTTTTTTCCAAAGATATCAGAAAACATATCTTTGTGATTAGCCTGTAATAGAGGTCAAGGACTATAGCAGAAAAGTATTATGGTATTAGCGAATTTCAGTTCAATGGGCTTGGGCTAAGATAGCCCACTGTAGGAATGTTTGCATTTCTTGTGTTTCTACTTCTATTTGTATTTTTGTGTCTCATAAGAGGAAATGTAAAAATGAACCACAAGCCACACCGACCCCTGAGTTGCATGTAAGATCATCATTATATACACTACATTATTCATGTGTTGGGCCTTTCACTGCTCTCGTCCTGTAGGTCCCTACAGTAGCAGTTGTGAGTTCAGGAGGTGGAGTGAGAGCCATGACTGCTTTCTATGGCAATTTGTTAGGACTCCAACAGCTTTATCTTTTAGATACCCTGACATATTTGTGTGGAATTTCAGGATCCACTTGGTACGTACTATAGAACTTAATTTGTGGTAACTCTCTGATTTGATGATGCCTGTAAATACAGCCTTGGGAGTTGATGCTTTCTGATGTATTTACTCTAACCGATGAGTGTGAATCAATGGTAAGCCTGTGAACATCCATCATCACTGTGTTCAGTGGTTGCTTTTTTTGTTTATGAATTTCTTCACGTTTCTCAAAAATGGCGACAAGTTTCCATCTGATCCTGTGTGCACCTCTCAGATAAATGAAGATTTCCAGCGTAAGTATTACTAACTGGACTGTCTGTAAATGAATCTTCTGTAGTACTTGAATTCTTAACTGTCTCAGAGAAAGAGAAAATTGAATAAGAATAATATATGTGAGGTTATGTGCAGATGTGAATTGAATCTAAAATCAGTCTCTCCAGAGATCGCAGCTTGGCCCATCCCTTGTCTTGTTGTGAGGGAGCTGCAAGGTAAGCCTTTCTGCTGATCCCAGTGATAGGGAGGAAGACATGGAAGTTAAGGATTCCCTTTTGAATCAGAAGAAACTGGAAATGACCTGTGCTTGTGTCTGTCTGTCTAGAGAAGGCACAAACTGAAGCATTGGAAAACCTAATGGTCATGGGTATTTTAAAAATGTTTCTACATACTAAGATTTATTTAGCGAGCTACTGAAAACCTGTGATCTTTAAGAGAACAGCACATTCCCTGAAAGTCGGTGTTAACTTTGAAGCCAAATAAGTGATCTACAGTAAAACTGAATATGACAGCAAATTCCTTTCAAACTTTGTCAACTGCTTTCATTACAAGTTAATAATGGCAGTAAAAAAAAAAAAAAAAAAATTCCACACGTTTTTGCTCCAATCACAGTGTAGGGAGGTTATCAATTTCTAGGAAGAAGATTACTGTCTTGTATGCAAGTTTACTGAAAATCTGATGACTATTATGCTAGGTGCTTGTGTAGACTCTACGAAGATCCTCACTGGTCCCACAAAGATCTGCAGGAGGCAATTAGCATCGCTCGGCGATTTGTGACCAGCAGCAAAGCAGGAGCATTTTCTGCTGAACAACTGGTGTATTATTTCCAGCAGTTACGGTTATTAGAGAAGGAAGGACGGCATGCCACTCTGACAGATTTGTGGGGTCTCATAATAGAATATTTTTTACATCGAAAGGTAACAAGTAGCCATTTGAATTCCTGGGCAACTTTCTCTTAAGACTTACAGAAAAGCTGACTGAAACTTTTTCAGAGATGAAACATTTGCTTTGCAAAAGAAGTGAAGGCCCGAAATATCAACCACCGTGATTAAAATCCCAGGAGATTCATAAAATACTCAGCATTTTATATGCTTAAAGCTTACACTAAGGCAGCAAATCTTCATGATGTTTTTGAGAGAGAGAAGTATTACCCTGTTTTGCTGATGGGAGAGCTAGGACACAGATTGTTACTTGCCTGAGATCATATGCTGCTAAGGGACAGATAACACTAGAATTCAGGAATTTCTGACCCAAAATACTATGGGGTAGGTGTGTTTGTATATGTCTAGTACTGTGTATCTGTCTTCATAGATTTATTGTCTGTCTTAGTACCTAGAGGGACTCCTTTAGATCAGATAATGATAGTTAGTTTTCTTAGTAATAGTGATGCCTGTGTCACATGGGATCTAGCTGTTAGCTCTGCTTATAGCCAAAAACTGTGTCAGATATTAAAAAATGTGGGAAAGACAGATTGAGACGCTTCACTCTGAAATCATTTAATTCAGTTGCACAGCTGTTGCTCTCTGTGCTCTAGCACAAGTTGCCTTCTAATGAAAATCCATTCAACGATGCATCAGGAATAATGCTTTTTAAATTTGTAAGCTATTGCTTAAGAAATTGGTTGTGGAATACAATGTAACTTTTTGTGATTTTATTTTTATTTTTATTTTTTACCAGTTAAGTATTCATCATTTCCTTTGGCCAGTTCCTTGAAAGCTTCTCTCTTTTACGGTATTGGCCAGGCAATTAAGTTTTTGGGAAATAAGCTAAAATAAGGGTTCAGAATGCATTGGGTGTTTTGCAGTGTCAGTCCATGTGGATGTTTTTGTCATGGTAAATGGAACCACCCCATGAAAGAGGGGAAAGTTTCTCAGTCTATTCTAGGTCAAGTCACATAGATGGTGTGCTTTAGTCCTCACAAAAGATTGTCTTGTGGTAGTATGTTTAAGTACACCTTGAGCTGTGATCTTTGGGTAATAAGTAATTAGTCACCTCAGTCCTGTGATATTTTAAGGACAAGAGGAAACACCAATTTAAAAATCATAGAGTACATCAAAATGATAGTTTTTCTTGCTGTGACCAGGAGAACCCACGGAGGCTGTCTGACCAGCAGGCAGCTGTGAGGTGGGGACAGAACCCCTACCCCATCTACGCAGCTGTCAATGTGAGGCCCAATGTTGATAGCAGCATGTTTGCAGGTATTTACTTAAAACCTGTAGATAACATTTTCTACCACAGATTGACATATTTGTTGTTGTCCACAGGCTAAACTTGCAGTACTTTAGTACTTTAATGTGCTACTTTGTCAACCCGTAGGGTTGATAAGCAACAGTAATTATAAATTCTTATTCAGTTCTGACATCATAAGTCATGTTCCACTAAAATTGCAATAGGAGATGCTTTTTCCATTTAATATTTGTAATTTTTTTAGTCCCCAAAACCAATTTCAATCAAGCAAATTGACGTTCAAAATAAAGCAGTGGGCTGAAACTGTCACTACTAAATTATACCAAAATACCCTATACCATCATATACCATATACCATCAGTACCAAATAATTGAGTACTTGCTCTTCACCATGTTCTAACCTTCCTAATAATATCAAAATGCAGTGCTAGTGAGAGAGTCTTGTATCTAATTACAGTGCAATTCTGATAAATATATCTCTTTTCAAGAAGTAGAATCCGTTTCCATAAAAGATACAGGCCAGGAAATCTTACCTTGTGCTTTAATTAAGGGATTTAACATCTGATGACAAAGGGATGACCCCTTCGCTGGGTCGCAGTGTACCTTATGATTTCTGTATTTACAAATACGGAGCTTTTATCCACACAGAAGACTTTGGCAGTAAATTCTTTATGGGGCTGCTACGTGAAAGGCATCCAGAACCCAGAGTTTCCTTTTTGCAAGGTAAGGTCTGAAACACCTGATATGCAACTACTTGATTTGGTACATGTTAAAATAGATCTTTAAAAATTCAATATATAGTTATTCTTAATGCATTGTTGCCACTATAAACAGCATATACAAAAACTATTTCCAACTTGCTTACTTGAACAAGGCTTCTCTTTGAATTTTGGATATTAGGTCATCTCCAGATTTTTACCTAGTACATGATAATTCTGATGAAAAGAAGGTGAATTTGTTTCATAAGCAAAAAGCTCATTAGTACTGGGAATGTCCTTACTTTCATGAATTTCCTTGTTCTTCTCTTTTCAGGAATATGGTCGAGTGCATTTGCTGCAAACCTAGATGAAATTTGGCAGGAGGTGGTTTCATCGAAAGTTAGCTTTCTGGAATCTCTGAAAGCTGCCATAAAACGCTTATGTAAAGATTCTTAAAATCATATGAAAAAGCCATGAACTATTCTCTTTATTCCAACAAGTAGTCTGTTGTCATAGCATAGCAGTATGCACCAAAGAAGACATAGGAGGGATTTACAAGAACTGCCCACTTGATAGCTAATTTGGTTCTGTTTATAGGAGATAATGGTATAAGGTAGCACTGACGAGAATTATAGAGCAATACAATTCCTACTCCAAGGATATACTGCTAGCGTATGAACGAAAGCTAAAAGTGGCCAACGCTGTTGCTATAAATGCTTAAAGAGGTTGTATTTACTCAACTGAAATGAAGTCAGAGGATGGTGTAGCAATCCATGTTTATAGCATTTTAAGCTTAGATACTATCTCTCCATGGTCCCATCAGGCTCAAATCCTGTAGAGTCCAAGGTAGAAATATTCTTAGTGTTAATCCGTTCCACAAACTATGCTGTAGCTAAATTTTAAGCAACTGGTTCCAGATTGCATTTTCACAGGCAAATGATATATGGGGACTGAATACCCTTCTCTTTCAAGGCATTCTGTGATGCTGTGATTACTCAATATGACTCTCATAAAGGCTGTCCCCATTGTGTCTAAAACCCCAGGTGTTGTCGGGTGCAGGGAGCAAAATGATCAGTGGATTGTGAAATTGTCTTGAACCCTGTGTGGTGTTTTTGCAGATGAGACTCCTGGACATCAATATCAGGATACTTCCAACTTTGAGACTCGGATGGTTATGCCAGAAGGAGCTATTTCAAGTTTATTGCAGGATTTCTCCAAGTATCGCTTTTCCTCTGGGCAAAATGTGAACTATATGCGTGGACTGTACCTTCACAAGGACTACTTGAAAGTCAAGGAGTTTGTGGCTTGGAAGGGTAAGCACAGTATGAGCAGCAAACAAGGGATTCAGGACAGTAAGGAGGAGGAGAAGGTTAGCAGTTGGTAATAGCACATGTATGCCTTATCCGAGAGTGTTCATGTGAAATCCTGATAAAATGGAACAGAATGACTGTAAAGGAAACTCTTCCAACTGTAACTGTCATCTTAAACATATTTCAAAAAAATTAGTCTGTAATCACTAGTTTTGTGGGAGCACTGTATCCATGACAAGGTGAAAGCAGGAAGGAGAAACACACAGTTAAAATTCTGGCTTTATTTACATCTATGAAACCATATTCACAGTACTGTCTTCAAGTGAGAACAGAATTTGAGCGTATTTTGAGCGAAAGCACCCTCATTCTCTTCGTTATTGGAAATCAGCATATGTGAAGGTTATCTGCTTTCATTAAAAGTTGTTTTTTGTTCTTGGAGCGTTAGTTGGTGTTTAAGTGAGCTTGATTTCTCTGCAGAGAAGTCGCTTAATATTTCCCGTTTAGTTTTCCAGAATGACGTGAGGATGTAATAATAAATGTATGAGTTACTCAGATACTATGCTATAAATTCTATAAAAATCGTGTAAGGAAACAAGCATTATAATGCGCTTCCCTCCCTTGTTTGTTGAACGTCTGCACTGGATTTGTCTGTCTTCAGTTTTGTGTTGCAAATATAGGAATGTCATAGTCTTTAACGCTTGTCACGAACATCTTGCATCGTTTCACTTTTGTTTGAACTGCATAGAAAGTGTTTTGGGTTCTTTCAGGTACTGATCTGGATGCACTTCCCAACCAGTTAACGCCTATGGAGGATAACCTATATCTGATAGATGGGAGTTTTTCTATCAATTCTCCTTTTCCTTTGGTGCTTCATCAAGAAAGAGATGTAGATGTCATCCTGTCTTTCAACTATTCTTGGGAAGCCCCGTTTGAGGTGAGAGACAACTGAGCAGTTGCGCGAAGATGCATGCTCTGTCTAGGATACACAATATGAGAAGGAGAAATACTTGTTTTCCTCTAGCTGTTTGGTGATTTTTTTGGCAGTTTCAGCTCATTTCTCAATATATACAATTAATTAATAGTCTCTTCATATGAAACTGCTGTGTCATTTCTTTAAAATGCCCCTTGAGGGAACATTAAATCACTGTTCTGTGTACTGAATACTCTAGATGCTGTTAGCGGTTTAAAAATACGTGAAGGGACCGTTTCTAAGCAGATTTCATGTGCAAGTGCTATTGCTGCAGTTGGATGTGTTCAAATAACTGAGTTGCATATTATACCATGGCATAAAAATAACATTTTAAGTAGCACATATCATAAAAAATGTTTTCCATTGCATTACCTATGTAAACAATTGAATTCCTTTCTATCCTAAATGTAATTTTTAACTGTAAACATGCAGATCATTGGCACAGTTAGGAGGCAAAGATCCAATATTCTAGCATAAAGATCTCTCCCTCTTGAGCTAAAGAAAAAATTTCTGAAGGCAGTGGCCAGTGGTGTCAGATAGCCATTATTATCAAACACTGTTAGTAAAATGCCTATTAGATTTTTGTTAGAACTGGGGTAACGGTTGCTTTGGCACAGCTAAGAAAAATTAGTTTATTGTATGTATTGACACTTGTTGCAGTAGTACCTAAAGCATCAGGCCAAGGCTCAACAGTCCTGTGAAGATAATCTCTTCTCAGCTGTCTTGCAGATCTGGCTGTAGCAATCACAAGACTTTAGGGTTTCTGGTGCTGAGCACTTTCAGAAATCTGGGCTTTATTTTGCTCTCTAGAGAATAGAAAGTAAAAATCTTTATTACCTCATTGTAGTCTCATTCAATACAGAAAAGAACTTTTCTTTCCTCTGAGTTCAGGTGCTCCATAAAGCTGAGAAATACTGTGAAGAACGGAAAATCCCCTTTCCACACATTGTTGTCAGTGAAAAAGATGAGCAGAATCCAAAAGAGTGCTACATGTTTATAGATGCTGAGAATCCAAAGGCTCCCATAGTGCTTCATTTCCCACTAGTGAACAACACCTTCCAGAAATGCAAGGCGCCAGGTAAAGGAGCATGCCTGGGACTGTGTGTGTATGATGCTACATATTCACCACCCACACAACCTCCCCTACAGATGCCTAACACCCTACAGGGAATGGCCCTTCAGGGACTACAAAACAAAACTTGGATTTGTTTTAAAAAAAAAAAAAACTTGGTTTTTTTTAAAAAAAAAAAAAAAAAAAAAAAAAGACTGGATCTAGAGTGCCAGAATATCTCTATTTAGTGACTTAAGAAAATGTTTCATGTGCTTCTTAAAGCTATTCTGTACATTGCAAAAGGCACAGTTGTTAAGATTTGGGTTTTAAACACAATTAAACAATAAGAGAGCGGACTGAGTTTCTTACGTGATGGCAAGAATTAAGAGATTTAACAAATAATCATTAAGATGCATTACAAATGAATAAAAAAAGCATCTGTGGTTTTGTAGGATGCGTCGTATGAGTGCAATTTTTTAAAACAGACAATCTGTTTTCTTTGGTTGTTTCATGGATTTCATAATGAATCTGTTAAAGAAGAAAAGTAAAACTAGACAATTAAAGGGACATGCACTGTCACGAACTGATAGTACTCACTCAGATTGGGGAGAGGTGTGTATTAAGCATGATTCCCAGTACTAGCCAGTATCTTAATGATTTAATAAAGAATTTATTAACTTTTATGGATGACACCAAACTGGGAGGAGTTATGAGCAGCTTGAAGAGCAGGGCAACTAATCAAAATGATTATATTAAGCTGAAGAGACAGTCTGAAATCAGCCAGATGACATTCAATAAAGGCAAGTGCAAGATACTACATCTAGGAAAGAGAAAATAAATGCACAGATAGAAAGAGTGATAAAACAGAAGAATAACCTGTGGGTTGCAAGAGGTCAAACCTGAACGTGGTTCAACACGATGCTATTGCAAAATGTCAGATCTCATATTGGAAGGTGTTACTGGGAAAGCCATATTTCAAATAAAAAGCAAATTATTTCTATCTCCTTGGCACTGTTGAACTCTGAGCTTGAGCTTTGTTTTTTCTGTTCTTTAGAAAAGATACAAACAGGAGAAGAATAGGAATAAAAAGATTAGAATACCTGTAAGGAAAGATTGAAGGAATTGGGCTTATCTGGGCTGAAAATAAATGTGTTGCCATTTTAAAGAAAGATGTTCATGTTGGCTGTAGAAATAGGGAACGTTTTTTAAAGGCTAGTTTATCCCCTGTGAGTGGAGCATATGAAAAAAATACATCTATTTAATCTCATTAAAAACTTGTCTGCCTGTGCTAACAAATCAAAGAAGCCAAGTTTTTAGACCTATTTGGTGCCAATTAATGTCTTCAGTAGCTATATATATTTACCAGTAGCACGTACAGATTTATTGTAAAATAGAGATATGCAGAGGGAAGAATGTCCACATTTTCTTATGCGTATGTTGAAACAAGGAGTATTGTCATCTGCTTTTTATCTTTGCAGGGATAGTACGTGAGACAGAAGAAGAGAAATCATCTGGAAAATTTGCTATCAGTGGCAAAACATCTCCTTATTATACTATGAATTTCACTTATCAACCCGCTGAATTTGATCAGCTGCTGGAGCTGTGTCGCTACAACATTGTGAACAATAAGGATGCAATTTTTAAAGCTCTTGCCTTGGGAATGAGAAGGAGAGCACAAAAGAGCAAAGGGGAATAAGAGTCTTAATACTTCTACTGTGAAAGGTGGTTGAGTGTTGAGTAAATGGCACCATGCAGAAATATTTGATGCTAAAAGCTGACAGTTCTGCTCTGTAGTTTCTCAAATGCAGGATCTATTGGTAGATTACAGGAACTAGACGGTTCTTGATGAAGTGTATGAGCTAAACTTAAATAATGACATGAACATGTCTGTGTGGATGCATGATTTACTGAACTTCTGTGCAATATATGAACAAGTGAAATTAAAGTAGTGATGGTTTTTAGTCATTCAACTGCACATAGATGTAAACAAATTTCTGGCATGCCAGTTGCGTGAAGAAGTTAATTTTCTCTGTATGAAGTAGTGTCAGGGTGTCATCAAGATGTGTGAGGATAGATGGTAAAGGGGTATATATACTCAGACAAGACAGGGTTGTGTTTTATGGCTCTGTATAGTTTAATTTTAGAGGTTTTTTTTCTCTGTTAAATACCTAATAGGATATTAGCTGGAAAAAAATTAGTTTTTTGATGGGATCCTCGTTGCTTTTGTTACACCCTTTCACTAGGTGAAGTTAATTCAGGTCTGCTAACATGTGCTGAAACTGCACACCGTTTTTCTATGTAGCCACGTCTTAAAAAATTGTATGGTAACTGAAGACCATATGTTCACCGTTCTGAAAAGCGGATCTCTGTCCAACCTAAGATGTTGTTTCAGTCAGTTGACGAGGGTGCTCTTTGTTAGTGCTTCATGAATCTCTGTTTCTATGGGAGTCGCATCCTGGCTATTGTTGGAGTTCTCATTGTCTTGTAGTTACAATATCCCTTTACAGAATTACAATGGCCTTGAATTTGCAAGGCACTGGCCAGTAGGAGACTTTGAAAAAGACCAAAACCACCCCATTTTGATTGGAGTGCTTTTTAAGTAGTATGTCTTTCTTTTATAAAAAATAAAATAAATGTTAATGAGAAATAAAAGGATTTTTTTCACCTCTTTGTTTTAAGACGTTTTTCTGAGGAAGAGTGTACATGGAAATGGTGAAAACTAGGCAGAAAATGCTGTCAGAACACTGCATAAACAAACTGAAAAATGTTTTGTTGTTAATTTCTTTCTTGCTTAGAGGTTCTTGGTGTTATTTGTAACACCAAGCAGGTGCATTAGTTTTGGGTCAACCCTCCGCATAAGGAGAAACATCAAAAGATCTATCTTTACTTCAAGGCTAAAGAAAGGTTAGGAAGTATAATAAGAGGAAGTCTGTGCTGTGAAGAGGAAGTGATAGCTTGTAGTAGGAAGAAAAAAGCAGATTGGGGCAAATCTGCTGCTTGTGCTCTGGCAGCAGTGCCTACGCTTGCTAGCATGCAAAACTGAGGCCTGACGTTTCCATCTGCATGTGACCTTCAAAGGCTGGTCAGAGCTGCCTGAATGCTGAGCCCTATGGGTGTGATTGTGTCACTCAGTGCTAGAACAGCACTCTTTAACCTTCCATTCTTTCTTATCAAAAAATGTAAGATTGAAAAGGTAAACGTAAAAGAAAGAAAAAGGTAAACGTAAAAGAAAATGTAAGACCTGACGAAGTGTTAGGTAATCAAGGGCTTCACTTCATTAACGAGATCTCTGCAAATGGCAGTGCTGCCTGGCTTTATTTATTATATTTCATCAGTGCTTAGATTCCCATAAAACTCGATCTAATTAAAGCTTTGCTCCACGGAGGACAATTCTCACACCATTTAAAAAGTAATATAATCACACGTACCATTCTTATTTACCCTCAGCTATTTCTGAAAAATATTAGTTTTTTCTTTCTGCAGTTTGGACCATCCTGAAACCCTCATCACAAATGGTGTTCCTTGTGGTAAGATTAGCTTTATGGATTGATGTCTTCCCTATTTTCTCTTTCTCTGAAAGATGCAGGGGAAGGTGAATCTAGACAAAACGAGTCTGAAGAGGTTGCTTCTGTGTGAAATGACATGCTTCAGTTTTTCAGGCATCACAATCCAGTCTTGGTCTTAGGGAAGATGTTTTCACTGGCACTAATATTAAATGCCTTCATCCATCCAGTTTATTTATTTATTTATTTTTTTTTTTTTTTAAAACATGCATCACTTTGGTTATGTAACTTATCGTCTCATGATACAGCTGTAATGAGCCCATGGAGCAGCACATGGTCCCAACAGCAACGGGAGTGAAACTTAGAACAAAAGACACTAGGGAGTAAAATGAGATACCTGTTGACTTAAGTATGTTAGAAATAGTCCTAAGTTTTAAGGAATGCAGTAGGGTCATCATTCAAATTCTCCAAGCCCAAAGCTTTTTCCCCAAGGAAAAATTCTCTCCAAATGAATAACAGTATGTCCTTAGCTTTTGATCTGATTTTTTTATTTTTTATTTTTATTTTTTATTTTTTAAATTAACCGATTTGGACAGTCTTGTAGAGTTTCCTGTTTAGAAGTTTGTGTGACTGAGGGGAAGAATGTGAATTATTTAAATTCTGTAGATTGATGTCATTATGTAATCGCATTCTGTTAGGAGAGAAAGGATTTTTTGTTTCTTTTTCTTTTTTTTTTTTTTCCTCTCAACTACGTAGAGGACAATTCCCAATAGCGCTTATGGTGACAATAAAGTGTGTGTACATAAGCTCCTTTCTTTGCTACTTTACTGTATTAACCACTAATGATTCTCCCTTTGGGGAAATCACAGGAAATACATAGATGATGAAGAAATTACCTACATCTCTTTCC